ACTACACTGTTGTAAATATTCTATAAACATCATATTATCAAACTTTATATATGGTAGACTAAACTCTCTTTTAGAGTGTTAATAATGGATTTTCTTCTATTACATTGATGTGAGCACTCCAGATGTTTGAGAATATGTTTGAGAAAATAACTGCTCTGTCCTAATGTCTATACTTTTTGGTGTACTCCAAAAATCTGTGCAAGAAGAATGTGGATGTAATCACACTGTAAATATGCTAAGTCTATGCAAATGACCCACTCACGACTTGCAGTTACTTGTCATGGTACCAATGAGTTTACTGCATTTTGCCCTAGGACACTACATCAACAAAAATATACTAAATTAAATGTATCGTCCATTTCAGCCAATATCAGACCAGTACGGTAAAAGTAAAGGGCTTCCCACTAAAACTGCTAATTAAATAAGAAGAAAGAAAATGTGAAATTTATTATACAAAGTCATTGGCATTGAATAAACCCAGAGCTAGATGGGACAGAAGACAGAAGCCAGGAGCTGAAACTTTACAATATTACTAACATATCTAGCTGATGCTTTTATTTAAACCTACTTAAATCTGCACCCATTCATGTAGCTGGGTCCTTTACTGGACAGCTCATCTGAAGTGTCTTGCTCACAGGTACAACAGCAGCGTCATCCAGAACCTCTAACCACAGCTCAGCGCTGCTGCCTAGTCAGGACAATGGGGCGTAACACACAGCCGCTGAAATATTCAGGAGTTATCCCCAAACAAACAACACCTAGTCTTCGCAAGTTCAAAATACAAAGAGTGATCATGGATCTGGTTTTTCCTGTCCCACCAAGTGTCATTCTTCCTGACCATCCCTCAGCGTGTCTATAGAGCGCACATTCCTTGCAGGAAATTCCGATTTTTTTTTTTTAATGACTGAAGACTGAAGTTACAATGAGTCTTCAGATTTCAATAATCAATCTCCCAGCCCTCATCAGGTAGGTCCCTAACCTCAACAAGGCTGACTAGTAAGATCCTCTCCTGAACCGAACGGTGGAGATCTACAGTTTTATTCTTTTCTCCCGAGGTTCTCAGATTTTAGAAAGAAAAACAACACAGACAACAAAAGACCAGTTCAGTTGTCAGGCAGGTAATGCCTGCTGTGGACGCACGCTACTGCTGTAGGGAACTGACAAAAAAAAGGATTTGTGCTTCTGATGTTTTTCCGCAGACTAGATGCATTTTGCACGATTACCTGCGAAGAGTTGAAGATGTATTTTCATTTATGGTATCTCCTGAGTCATCTATGCTAATTTCAGAAGAAAGCCTACACTGAAACTCTTCAGAAATGCAGCATGTGTTTTTACTACTATTGATTAATTCTGCAGTACTAAACGGTCACAGCATTTGAGCACTATACAGTATTGCAATATGCTACAGAATATGTAACGGCTCACTTTCCCATTTGGATGGTTGCATGTGCAAAAGATACACAGGTTTAGTGGTTTAAATCACCCTAAAACAATGCCACCAGAAGGATCATGCTCTGGGATTGTTGCCGTCATGAACATCACAATATCAAGTCACTAAGACAATCAGAATCTGTCATTAACATCATTAACCCCCCCCCACAGCAACACCAACTGACAGGAAACACCTGTGATTGACTTAGACCTGGTCAACTGTGTGCAATAACAATGGAGAGACCACCTGAGGGATCACATAGTCACAGCAGTATCTGCAGCTGGTAACATAAACGGTGAAGATTCTTTAACCCAGTTGCAGCCACTTGATAAATCTGCTGCCAATAGCCAAAACAGACCATCCCCCCAACATAAAGCCATCACATCAAGCTGCCTGACGGTCGTTACCATATCAAAGCTGATGACAATTTACTCAATATTAGAACAGAGTATTGTCTGATGAAATTTAGCTCTGTGTCTCATTTAGCAATGCTAGAATGTGTGCACAGAAGAAACCACACAAGGTTTATTATGCTCTGTGTATCACAATGGCATTGCTTTGAATGGGGTAGTGCAGTGGTATTGGGAATTATTAAGGCTACATTAAGGAGTTAGACTGTCTTTTATTAGGATAATCTCTGTATTGTTAAGTCATATCCCAAGAACATATAAGATAATTTGGATATTTGGCTACATTTGGCTAGTTGTTATCCATAACAGGCTTTAAAATAAAATAATTTTCAATATTTTAGATTTAAGAGAAAAATAAACATCTTTATGGCCAGCATTCTCATTACTTAAATGAATGTTAATGAGTTGAATTAATGAGGATGACAAATACCATGACAGTACAATAAATTAAAAAGTGTGTCTGTCCAGAACTCATTCAGTATTCAATTATTACTATTACTATTTTAAAAATGTTTTATCTCTTAGATGAATATACTATGAACCTATAACACACCTTTCTAAGGATATTTTATAAGACATACAGTACTGTAATGGTTTCTATGTATTTTACATAAACAAACAATAACAATAATGATACTGTACATGAATGCCTGTTGTCACATATAACAATTCCTGCTACAGTACACTACATGCCTACAGTATTAGTATACTAAGCTTCTGCATAGCTTATTTTTGGAACTTTGTATTCCTAATAAAAGATTTGTGAGAATTACAGGTGTTTTCATTTTTCATTTGATGCATTCATTCAGGGTACCCCTGGCACATTAACTCTGACTGAAAAATATCCTGCACCAAAAAACAAGAAAGGTTGTTTGACTGAATTTAAAATGAAGCATACTGTACTTAACATCTTTATCCACTTCTGCAAATGTCACAGACTGTAGTCTATTGTCAGCAAATGCATAAACTGTTTTTAAGCTATGACTTTGGCTAGATCCGTGAATATTTAATAGGAGATCATTCTTCTCCCCATGGACTAAAATCTTAATGTGTCAGCTTAAGCTCAGAGTTGTTTTATCTTAACAAAAAAAAGGAAATGAAATTTAGAAAAACAAGACACCCTGAGACACCCTGTTTTTTACTACGTATGGAAAGAGAGAACCTCTTATACAAATATCATCAGGATTTAGTGCTCCGAAGGCAAACTCAGTACTGTACGTTCTGAACTGATGGTTCTGAAAGCAAAGCAAAGAGCAAGGGTGGTACCTCTTCACACCTGGTACAGTACCACCCTTCAGATTATAACTTTTACAGGAAAACACAAGATAGCACTTTTGAATCTAAATACGATACATCTTTTTCTTCTGTAACTAAAATGCAGCCACTATTTTCAACCAGATGAATAGTTCATTTACCTTATTAAAGTTAGAAACAGAAATAAACATAAAAATCGAAGCAATAAAGCTGCACAATAAATCAGACAGCAGTCCCAGGGTTATCACCTAGCTATGAGATTGAAACAGAATTACTTATCACCTTTGTCTTTGATCTTCATTATCAATCACACAGTGAAGAGCAATACGCATATTATACAGAAAACATCCAAATGGTGGCACCTTCAATGGAAAGCACACAGTATTTCTACGGAAGGATTAGCACAAAAGCAAGAAAGCCCTGCGAAAGGTTGTCAGGAAACCTCTTCTGCAGAGGAATTGAAACCAGGGCTTGGATATCTAAGGGCTTACGGGAGAGTATACATGTCTATAGCAACAGTAACATGAAGAACATTAAGGTTACAAACGAGAGAAGGCTTTGTGATCCCTTTGTGATCATTCTGTACCAAGTACAGTAGTAAATAACATGATACAGGATATTGTTTTCCTGGACATATAACTAACTGTCAAGAGTCGAACATGTTATTAAATGTCAAGTGATTCCTTTGGCCAGAAGAGTCTTCCAGCAGCCTTTTTTCTGACATTCAGAGCTACAATAATAGTCAAGCGTCTGACTGTAATTCGACTGTAATTAGTCCCAAATATTTTTTCCGGGGTAACTGGGAAACAGCCCACAAGGGAGCTGGAACTTAAGATCCTTCAAATCCGCAACAGCATTTTTTTACAATTAATTTTAATTCAGAATTTTAATTAGAGTTTTTCTAAGATCCATGTAAAAACCTGAGTGGCAAAAGTTTCACATTTATATACCCTAGACTGGACACCCCATGGACATATTGTAACCATTCTATTTAGTGCAATCTATATTAATATACAGTATGCCGACATGCAAATCATAAGCTCATTGTTTTAATGTGATGCATCGTTTTTGTCTTAAAAGCTGTTAAAACACACACAGCTCGGGACAACACTGAAAATTGAACGGGGGTCACTTTCTTTCACTGGGCCCTGTCTGTCAGGCACAATTTTGGAACTTGGAAACCCGGTCAGATTTTATTATCCAGTGAGTTTTGCAACGTGACTGTTCAGGAACGTTCCAGGTCTCTTCTTAAATGCTGAAGCTAACATGATGAAAAATTTTCAAGAACACTGTAACAGAAAACTCATCTCCAAACTGGAGTCTGTATAGAAGTCACAGATGGCCTCTGTCCTCGCTGACTCATTCTGCTCACAGATTCTGTTCTTGGAATGAACCTCTCCTTCTCCGTCTAAGCCACCTGCACTGCAGGTCAATTCTTCTATTAGGAATCGGAAAATCCCTTGTGTTTTCACAAACAAACATTATCTGATCAAAACTGTTTATTGATACCTTCACAATGCTGGGCGCCTACAGAAAACCAGAGAAGGAAACATGTAGTGTAGATGGGGTGTGAGATAGCAACCCCTCTACCCAAAGGAAAAAACACAATATCGTACAGCAGTTACTGTACATATATGCTGCATTTACAGTATAATTAGAACTGAGTATGTCGCATGAACATTTCTGAAAGGCGTTCAATTGGAGTCACTACCTATCAATTAATATACAGTATATAAACAGGAAGGGAATGAGAAAACAGCATATCTGAGCTTTATCCTAACCTTTGTCAACTGATAATGTTCAGTTTTTATAGGAAAATGTATAGCTCATTTGGTTTTGTGATACTAGCAGGCAGCTTGAGACCCAGTGGTATGAATGAATCTGTAAATGAATGAAGGACTCACTCAGTCTACAGTGCCTGACAGCTGTAACAACAACGGATATCAAAGGAAAACACTACAATTAGGGGTCATCTTAGCAACACCATTATCAAGTCTGGATGAGCAACAATCATTCTATGTAACAAAGATAAGAATATCACAAAGACATTCAGAAGCTTAACCTTTTAATTCTAAAACACAGAAAGCTAATCATTATAATTGTGCAAGTAAAGAACCGAATAGCCCATAAAATATGTTCCTTTTTTACGTGAATGGATATTTCTAAGACCACATAATATAATCTCCAATGTAATCTATTTTTATAAAATTTCAGAATTTAAAAGTTCACACGTGTTTTTAATATTAAACGTAATATCATGCTAATATACTTTTAGTTCAGTGAGTTAATAATAATAATAATAATAATAATAATAATAATAATAATAATAATAATAAGTGCTTACATTTATATAGCGCTTTTCTGGACACTCCACTCAAAGCGCTTTTACATGTAATGGGGACTCCCCTCCACCACCACCAATTACATGAGTTAAATTACATATAGATTATTAAATTTAAACTTACTAGCGAGATAGCCATCTGTAGCCTCTGTTTCCATAGTCAGGGATCAGAACTGTAGAAATCAAAGCGAAAAATCTCATTAGAAAAAATATTTTGTAATCTGTCATATCTTTGATAATGTGAATTAAGTATGAAGTGTTTTCTAAAGATACAGTACTCTCAAATTTAACCCTAAACAAAAGAATGATTTCTTTCAGCTGGAACGTGGACTTTGTTAAAGCTTTAGCAATGTGTTAAACTATTATAAAAAAACGTTTACTAGCGGCTCTTAAAAACAAAAGGGCTGGTCTTTCTTCCCTGTAGTGAGGTTTAAAATTAGATCTTCACAGAGATTTGGTCAAACCTGATTAAAATGTACAATATGCGACTTTATCCATCTACACTATACTAGACAATTGATTCTAAAAAGAGCTCTACAGCTGTAAGAAAAGAATTATTCTACCAGAAATAGAATGCATTTCATCAAGGAATGTACTATTTTAAAATCAGAATTCAGAAGGATCCCACTGCACCTTTTTAAACCTTTCCAAATATTAATAATGTATGATAGGATATCAGCAGTGTTAAGTGTCCTGACATGACTGAATTGTCAAGGTAACAAAATCAAGTAGAATGCAGACAATATTAATTGTCAACACGTTTCAAGCCAATGACCCAGTAAAGAGTAAAACAAACTTTTCATCATTTTACCAACATGACAGTATTTATTAAAAAATATTTTAACCACACTTTCGTTCACTACTGAGCAGTTTCTTACATATCAGATAAGCAACTCACTATTGAAATCTCACTTCAGTGGAATCTGAATGTCACTGATTTGAAAAGGAGCTGATTTTTTTAATAACTCTACAATTAATACAATTATAATACTGATTTCATAGCAATAATTAATAGTGTGTATAAGAAATCTATGATGATTGTGTCGACAGTTTTTTTAATGTACTTCATCTCCAAATCTCCACCTCCACTGGTGTTAAGACAAAGGGTTTTAGGTTTCAAGCAAATAAAAGTGAACAATTTTATTATTAACTACTACTGTGGTGTGATTTGTTAGTTCTGGTAACTTCACATAAATCATGCTTAGATAACCATGTCTCATTTAAAAAAATAACCCATATTGTTTTTATGCCATTTTTATTACAGCTCAAATTTAATCCAAGGACATGTCACTTTTAATATGCTGTAATTAAAAGTTGCATATGTGAAGCAACAAAGATAAAATCTAGGCTAATCAGTCACATTAAGCCCATTAAAATATCAGATAATGAAGAGATTTGCAATTAAAAACTTTGCACTACACTATATACTGCACATTCACATCAGTGACAGTAATTCTTCATTCATTGTCAACTACAGACCAGTTTACAGGATGAGCACAAGACTGCATTACCCTGTGCAACACAACTATACAAAACCATCAACACACAGACATTTCGCAATATGATGAATATAGCAACAGATAATAATTTAGAGCAGTTTCCAGGAACATCCTATTTACAATACATGTGTTCCATCACTATGGACAAAATAAAGGATACAGGATAATGTAAGGAGACTTTACTCCATTATTTAAGAATGGACAAACTCTCTTAAGGGAGATTAAATATCTTTGGAAACAGGATTCTAAACTGAATGTAAGAATCCTCGTAGTTTCAGGTCCTTTTAATGCAGGTTAAATACCAAAATTAAATCTTTCTGAAAGTACTGGTGAACTACGAATTAACCACTTTGCTTTGAAGACTCAGGACTTAAGCACTGAGTTACACAACTTCCTCAATGTATTTAAAGCACCTTTAATAAAAAAAAAATCATATGGACCTTGGGTTTTTATTTTTGGTCAGTAAATATATTACACATTAATGGAGTCCTAGTCAGAAAGATGTACATCATATTTTCTGAAATTACTTTCTCACTAAACCAAACAAATAAATTAATAAAATAAAAAAATATTTATGAATGCAGATTTATTCTCAACTAACTGGTTTTGAATTCTTCTGAAGGCGGTCAGTCTAAGTGTTCTTGAAGGAACCTAAGGCTATAAAACAGCGTAAACATAATCAATTTTAATCCCAGGCAACCTTGGAAAACTTGGCTGAATGTAAATATTTGTTACAAAAAAAACTTGTTTTCCATTACAGGTAAAAAAAAAAAATCCTGTCCTCTTCGTTTTCTTTTTCTTCAGAAATTGAAAATATAGTATTCCTGTTTTACAGGTAAATAGATTCGGATCACACTGACTGGCTAGTTTAGGTATCCTCCCACTCTGGACATTAATGTCAAAACTGACAAGTGCACCAACAGTTTCACCTCTTGGTTTAACATGTTTCAACACACTCAACCAAACAGCAAAGAGATAAAGGCTCTGAACCGCCAATCACCCAAATGTGTGACTTCAGCGCTCTGTCCTTTATTGCTCCATCAATACAATTTCCCTTAAATAAACCTGTCTCGTTAAATCACCCTCTTTTAAGGGGAATTCTCCTTTACAGGCATTCAGTCATAATCCCACAGATGGTGGCTTTGCACCATTGGCTCCTCAGCCAAGCACAGACACCAAATGTCTGAACCTGCGGTTCTCTTATACTCAGTAGGATTGCAATCGCGATAACTCATCATTGGTGGGGTAAAACGAACCCATCTCACAGCAAATTAACCCAGCTCGTGTTCCCTGTGAGGGGATGAACAATCCAATATTTGGTTAATTCTGTTTCTCAACGATAGGAAGAGCGGACATCGAAGTCATTAATTTTAGCTGGGCCAAAAGTAGTCAAACACATCATGTTTTTCTTTCTTCACTTCACTAAAACCATTTCAGTAAGGGAGGAGCAACAATAATATGGTATTTACCTTGAAGCATTTACAGCAATCCCACTCAAATGGATACTGTACTCCTGTATTAAGGTAATCGGTCTTATCGAATGCTGACAGATGTTTTCCTAATGTTATGAAATAATACGTCAGTCTGGAAACAATTTCCATGTATTATGCATGTAATAAACTGCTGTTAATAGTAAAAACAAAATAAATCGTTAGCCATTACATACAATGCATAATATGGACTAAACACGTTTTTGTATGATTATTTTTTACATTTAGTTAAAACATCCACTTAGTAACTGCACAGAAAGAAAGACACATTTTCTTTGGTAAAAACCATAAATGAAAACTATAAAACAGACTTCATGCATCAATCAGTAAAATGTCCCACTTCCTTTAGGATGTCATGAGCCTTTTCACAATTAAACATGTACTCACATGAGCACAGTGAAGCATTTCTTAGAAGTATGAACAAATATTCACCCTATTGGACCAGTTTCAGAATAAATCCTGCTCTTTTCTGTTTCTTTTTTTACAACACTATGCTGTAGAACATTATTTAAAACCACCAAAACTCGAATAAACTATTATATGGGACCTGGCAGGAACAACTCACCTGTGGAGGAAGTTTTGATTGAACAAGGGAAGGAGACACTGACTATTTACTTCAGATACAGTAGACCAATCAAAAAGGATGATGAAAGCTGATGACCTTGCAAATTCTATTTTAAATATTAATGCTGCCGGCTTTGAGACTGTATTCCTGATGGAAAAACAAGATTGTAAGATTGCCGCAGAATCGTGGATGTACTGTAACGTTTGGCCTTCTCTTTGCAGGAAATCCAAGAGGATTACTATTGAATAAGGCACAAGAAAGCAGAAATGATCTGAAAGCCATTAACATTTCGTCCTCTGAACTGATTCAATCTTTCAGGTTTGCCTTTGAGTAACGATGGGTGTTGTGACTTGAAGAAACTGTCAAGGGTGAACACACATGCCATGGCTCTCTATACTCAAAGGCCCTCACTCTGTGAGTGGGGATGAAAAGACGTTTTTTTTCTTTCCATAGGATGCTATGCGAAGTGGGCCGGCAATTTCCACCAAGAATCAAAAACAGGTTAACATATTATTCCACTCCTTTGCAGTTCAGAATACATCGAATAATAATAATTAAAAATCACGTGTTGTATTTTGTTGCTGCAGCCGGAAGTTTTTGCAAAGTGAGAATTACACGGGATTTTGTTCAACAACCGTGGGCAGAAGATTCTGTTTACAACTTCAGCTTCTTTGAATTTTTCCTCTGAACAAAAGCAGCATATATTTCTATCAATCTAGACACACTACCGTAGACACAACTGGAGCACACAAAAGCACTAAAAGTGCCCATCAATGAAGTCGGGTATCTGGGACCTCGATGCCTAAAGCTTCTCATATGGGTACCACCCCAAGATCCCCAAACTGCTCTTGCTCTAATTCTGCCAGGTATTACAGGGAAAACATTTGCTAGCTTTCTGATTCCCACAATAACTCTTCCCCGAGTGGATGCCCATTAGGAAATTGGAAATTGCTGTGACCCATAGGTCACTCATTAGTTTTGCAACACATGCCGATTATGAACTGCTGGAGAAACAGAAGCCCTGGCTGGCCAGAGCAATCAGACAGATTCACTTAACGTGCCTTAAGCCTTTTCTACCAAATTAGGTAGACATAAAAGGATATACCAAATTGGACCCTGTTGGGGGGTGGAAAACACAAAAATCATTTCCTCTTCTTGTGATGACAGACAAATCACCTGAAGACGGACTGAAATGTGTGTTAGATGTGTACTCAAGATAGTGCGATCTATCCAAAGTATGGCATTACCTGTGTACTCATTCCTAACTCAGTTCATACAATGAAGCAATTTAAATTAAAAAACGATCAAGAGGAAATTGTTGTGTTTCAATCCTACTGAAATCGTTTCCAATTAAGCTCTAGAAGAAATCCTTTGCTTTAAATTTCATGGACCCAACATTCTAGCTCTGCGTCTGTCATAATTTATACAAACACACTGTATCCTCTGTTGTTCTTCTGAAATCTGTATTTATTTTACTTTCGAGTTTAACAGTTCAAAATGGGAGAATTAATTTGTAGCGTTTCAAACAACCTTTTGTGAAGTGTGAAAAGATTGAATTAGAATATTGCTTTGCTCATTTTGGTGTTAAAATATGTGCACCATTTTGTTCTTCACATGCATACTTACACAAATCACATTTGAAATATGGCCACTTTCGTTGTTGTTTTCAGAAATCTTAAGTATTAAATGCATACTTTGCATGAGCTTTAAAACGTTTTTAAAAGCCAGGCTTATAAACGTCTGCCTATCCAGAATCATACCGTTCAGCCCTTTAATAACAAAAGAGTTTGTAAATCAGATTGTGAATATCCATAGTAACACAGCACGAACCCCACACACACAAATTGTACCAGCTAACAGGTGCACAGCACAGAAACATACACTCACACTGTAACAAATGAGCATGCTGGTGAAAAGATTAAGCAACCTTTGCTTCAGTGAAATCAACAAATTCTAGTATAATGTTAAATATTTAAGTATGTACTGTACTTTCAAATGGTTTTCCAAAATAGCCAAATTAAAAATGGTACGCTCGCAACCAAAAAGCTAAAAAAACTCTTCAAAGACAATGTTTAAAGTCGTGATTTCAACAACAGTAACAACACCTACTATACTAGCAATGGATTTCTAGAAGTATTAACAAATTAATACACTACTGGACTTGCTTCATGATAAATCCTGAACAGCTTGTTTCTTTTTTTTTTTATCAACGCGCCATCCTGTAAAACGTCACTTAAAACCATCCAAACTCGGCTCTTGCCTAACATATTGCGTATTGTGTACGTGTTCCGAGTTTGTCGAGGGACCAACATTTTTCTGGGAGAATTTCCACAAAAAGAGTTCCTGTAAATAAAATAAAACTGTCACAAAATAACATGTCCGAAAAGAGAGGACTGAGGAGGCAGAGCAGCTCTTGCCTAGTTCTTGTCTCTAGGCATCGGTTTCTACAAACAGAGTGCCCACGTACATTATCATCAGTTAGCTCAGTCACTGTATGCTGGCAAGCACAACTGCCTCTCAGACCTGAGTCTATCAACATAGCCTATACCCTTGGGCTGTTCAAACGTATAATAAATATATACAATCTCCATCTGGTACTACTATTCGCCTTTGTTTTTTTTAACTATAAGCAGAGTCATGACCCTAGATGCCACCACATACAGTACCGAAAATACTTGAGATAATTTCATTGGTAGAAAATCCTCTGCTGATACTTCACACGTAACAATTGATAATTCCTTAAAAACGGTAACACACGAAACTGCACCAAGTAAATCAACAGGTTAAGGATATCTTTCTTGCTGCGTAGCTCTGTCGGGATTAGCCTGACTGTCAGCCTCTGACCAGAGCCCTGAAGATAACGCGTTGTCTGGGATTTGCCTTCTACTTACTTTTAAAAAAAAGCAACGTCAGTTCTTCGAGTCAGAACGAACAGGTCCCAGGTTAAAAGCTGTAGTCTGTCCCCTCTGAAAAGTTCCGATTTCTGTTTATTTGAGTAGGCAGGTAAGATTGCTTCGTTTTTTCTTGCTATTCTCAATAAGAAAAAAAAAATTAAAAAACTTTCACCCCGCCTCGTTTCCCGAGTTGTTCAACGATAACCCCCCCAAAGGAAACAATGACAACACGCCCCCTCCCTTGTAAATTACTACTGATGATCCTAATATGAAAATTATAATCATGTATTTAAATGAGTTAAAAAAAACGCACAACAGGGGGAACGCGGCTACCAGCTCATAGAAGAGGCATCTGTTTAAACGACTGGAAGTCTTCTTTATATGTTTTTCCTGCTTGAAAATCTTTGAAGAAAAAAAAAATGAAGCTTTCTTTAAACTCTGGCAAAGTACCACATGCGTCAGAAGGAACAGGAAGAGAGCCTGTTCACCAACTAAATGGTTAAGTGCACAGTAACAGAAAACACCTCAACAAAATCTTTTAGGTTACTTCCTCCGAACTAAACTAGCCTGTCAACATTTCCACTGTACCCGAAAACCTGAAAAAGCTCTGTCCGTTCACCGCACCTGTAGAAGTTGGGTGTCCTTTTTTTTCCCCCTGAGATTAGACTTGTACGAATAAATCATGTCATAGACGCACGGAGGAGGAAGAAGAAGACAGAAAACGAACTTTTAAGGGATGGCTATTAAATAGGAGAAGGAAAGGTCATTCGCAGCTGTGCATAAGAAAGCGATTAACCAAGGAAAAACAGGATCCACCGGTTTCTAAGGAATCAGCCCAGAAAAAGAAAAGGGGAGCAGCCTATATGTTAAAACTGAAGCCAACGAGTCAAGGCTAAGTTCTTGGGTTCTGTGGCCCCAGATCACAAATAGACAGATTTTTGGACCCACTCAGACAGCGATATCTTCACTTGTATCGCGTCTCCATTCCCACTGAACGTACTGTACAGTATGCATCAGCGCTCGACATACGTCAGTGCTTAAAGCTCTGGGATATGTGGATGTGCTGTAGAAATTAGCCCGCCGATAGCACCGGTTTAACTGATTGATTAGGAATGACAAGCCGGACGCATACGACCTTATATTAGCAACGGTGAACCAATGCAATAGCACAACTTTTGCGTCTTACTCTACAACACGATCCCGGGTCCTAAGGCATATCGGTACCTCTTTCTACGGGTCAGCAACAAGTGTGACGATCGACGATTAGCGAGGCGACATGTCACAAGCGAAATTCAGTCTTGGTGATGCAAGACTCTTTCGCGATGTGACTGATCAGAGTGACAGCAGAAAGGTTGTGTTGTCCTGTAAATTCTGCACCATTGTTAACGCTGGAGTATTTCATTTAAGACAGATACCTCCTGGAATATATTGTTATAACGCTGTTATATTCTTTTTTTTTACCTTAACAAGGCAGGAGGTGAAACAGTCCCATTACCTTTGCTTTAGATCTAGACATTGCGCCAGTTTCCTTTTTTTTTTTACTGTTGTTGCACAAAAGAAAACTATTTTTTGAAAGATAACACATCTATAACAATAGTTAATCCTCTTTGCACTTCCTCCATCTTCTTCCAAGCCAGGCAGGCGAACGAGCAGTGGCTATTCTGGGAAACTGGTCTAACGCAGAGAAACGGATCCCCCAGAGCGGCCGTCGTGTACTCGGCAATCGATTACAGACAGGACTTCACAGCCGAGACTAGAAATACACGATACGCGTGTTTTATGCTGTTTGACAACAATTATTATTTGAAAGACAAGAGCGGTCATACAGCAGCGAGTCTGTATGCATGTTTTTTTTTTTTAGAAAGACACGGAAAACCACAAGTTGAATAACGCAAAAACAAACCGATGCTTGATGCGCTGCAATTCATGCAATGGAATTTCTACAACTTTATTAAGATTACTCATTTTACTGTATTTACTGTAGTTCTTACTCAGGGTGCATTCGATAATGCACAAGCATCATCATACATCTCTAGCCACTGTTCAAGAAAGAACAAGAAATTAAATTATTTGAATTGTTTTTTAAAACTGATATTGTGCACAAATCATTTCTACTGTAAGGAGTTAACGCATGATGCCACCTTCTATGTAATGACCATCACAAATAAAAAAAAAGAAAAACGCAATTTAAGAATTCTCAGTCCATTATTTCCTCTCTGTGCTCTCATTACTATTTTAAAATCCAAGTTACTTATTTGTGCTCTCCTATATTACTTAATTATATTGCAGTTCTAGAGTGTTAAAAACAATGACCACAGCGTCCTATGATTTCTTCAAACCATACACAGCTGATTTTGCTATTACATTTTGTTCAGCTACAAACTAATGTATTTGTAACTATGATTCTTAATTATTATAAATTTGCGAGTGCCCACATGCAATATACAGTACTGAAAAAACATGTGGTTAATATATAGTATAAACTGGTTTCTTTTTTGCTGGATTGATAGGTTACAAGGGAAATATACCCATTCAATCTGTCAGAAATTGTAAAGGAGATTAAACATTCCTGTCTTCCATGTGAAAAATAAAAACTAAAAATAATCACATATTAGAGAAACAGAGAAAAAACCCCACACATATTTATAACAGCTCAAATCTAAGCACTATGATGGGTGGCCTGTAGTGGTCATTTAGCAGGATTTGTACAGGAGATCACCGTAAATAATTTACTTATTAAATCATTTACTTATTACTTATAAGTCTTTTGTTGTAAATTTTCATGACATTTACTTGGAATGAAATGCAGCCTTACGTGGACAAAAAAACGAATGACAAAAAATGGATCTGGATCCTGGAACATTAAAAAAAATTGAAAAGTTTACATTTGTTAAGTCTTTATAAAATGTTCATTAAGGGTCACCTGTAAGGTTGTAAGTTTTATGTACCTAAATCTAATTTCGGCAAACGATTATTTCAAGAGGGTAATAATCCAATGTTATTTTTCTGGATTTTATTCTAGATCGTGATCAGAGAGAGAAGCAGGGGAACAGATGATGATCTTGGAATATGACAAGTACAATGACAGTATATACAGTATATCAGCTTTGCGTGTCAAGCTGATGGAGAAGGATGAACTTGCCCCCACTTCCAAAAATATACTGAAAAGGGGCATAGGTAATTTCTAGTCGCTGAAAATGTGAACGAAGCAGATAGACCACAACATACTGCACCAAACCTTTCACAAAGTCAGGGACAGTAAATTTCATCTATGCTGAAATATTAGTTGAGGCAAACGGTAGAGGTTTACATAGTCAAAAATAACTACTTTTGTGAAGAACATAGTATTTAAAAAAGCTTTTTAGAAGGAAAAAAGAGGAAATCCTTCCGAAAGCAGTTCCTGACGAGTTTAGATTGTCTTGCAAACCCTTTTACAAGGACTATGCAATGACACCCCCCCTCTCAGTTTGTGTCTTTGGCTCCCTCTTGTGGTTACAGGCCTACGTGTCATATTCTTCAGTTGACCCATTTGGGTGCTACACCCACATTTAAGGGAAGAAACTAAATTTCTACCAGAAAGTAACGTCAGTTCTATGATAGGAAAATCCTTTCGCTTATATGACAGGAACTACCCATGATGCCTAAATCATAATTAAGGATGTGCACTCTTTAGCAGGTCTCTATTAAACAGAATAGAACCTAGGTGTCAAACATTCTTTTA